ATGCCATTTTCTTTGGATATTGAAGGCTACAGATCACAAATTTTGCTTAAGTCTATTCTCCAACGATGATTGAGTCCATTAAGCATCGATTTGCGCGGATTTATTCCGGTCAATTTTTGGGCAGATTCCAAAGGGGTACCAACACAGATTTCGGGCGATTTATCCGAAAGGCCATTTTCTTTCGATTCTGGAGGATACAGATCCCGAAATCTGGCCGAGGCTATTCTCCACCGATAATGAAGTCTATTGATCCTATTCTCCAAGGATGATAAGTCCGTTAAGTATCCATTTGGGCCAATTTATTTTCGGATGACATTTTAGTAATTTCTTGGGCGACGAAATGCCATTTTCTTTGGATATTGAAGGCTACAGATCACATATTCGGTCTGAGGCTATTCTCCAACGATGATTCAGTCCATTAAATACCGATTTGGGCGGATTTATTCCGGGTCAATTTTGGGCAGATTCCAAAGTGGTACCATCACAGAATTCGGGCGATTAATCCGAAATGCCATTTTCTTTCGATTCTGTAGGCTACAGATCACGGTATCAGGCAGAGGCTATTCTCCACCGACAATGAAGTCTATTGATCCTATTCTCCATGGATGATAGGTCCATTAAGCATCGATTTGGGCTAATTTATTTTCTGATGGCATTTTCGTAATTTCTTGGGCAACGAAAGGCCATTTTCTTTGTATATTGAAGGCTACAAATCACGGATTAGACCTGAGGCTATTCTCCAACGATGATTGAGTCCATTAATCACGGATTTGGGCGGATTTATTCCGCGTAAATTTTTGGCAGATTACAAAGGGGTACCATCACAGATTTTGGGCAATTTATCCGAAATGCCATTTTCTATCGATTTTGGAGGCTACAGATCACGGAATCAGGCCGAGGCTATCCTCCACCGATAATGAAGTCTATTGATCCTATTCTTCACGGATGATAAGTCTGTTAAGCATCATTTTGGGCCAATTTATTTTCGGATGGCATTTTCGTAATTTATTGGGCGATGAAACGCCATTTTCTTTGGATATTGAAGGCTATAGATCACGGATTCGCCTGAGGCTATTTTCCAACGATGATTGAGTCCATTAAGCACAGTTTTGGGCGGATTTATTCAGAGTCAACTTTTGGAAGATTCCAAAGGGGTACCATCACAAATTTCGAGCGATTTATCCGAAATGCCATTTTTTTGGATTATGTTGGCTACAGATCACGGAATCAGGCCGAGGCTATTCTCCACCGATACTAAAGTCTATTGATCCTATTATCCACGGATGATAAGTCCGTTAAGCATCCATCTGGGCCAATTTATTTTTGAATTGCATTTTTGTAATTTCTTGGGTGACGTAAGGCCATTTTCTTTGGATATTGAAGGCTACAGATCACGGATTCGACCCGAAGCTATTCTCCAACGATGATTGAGTCCATTAAGCACCGATTTAGCCGGATTTATTCTGGGTCAATTTTTGGCAGATTCCAAAGGGGTACCATCACAGATTTCGTGCGATTTATCCGAAATGCCATTTTCTTTCGATTCAGGAGGCTACAGATCACGGAATCAGGCCGAGGCTATTCTGCACCGATAATGAAGTCTATTGATCCTATTCTCCAAGGATGATAAGTCCGTTAAGCATCGATTTTGACAAATTTATTTTCGGATGTCATTTTCATAATTTCTGGGGCGACAAAAGGCCATTTTCATTGGATATTGAAGGCTACAGATCACGGATTCGGCCTGAGGCTATTATCCAATGATGATTGAGTCCATTAAGCACCGATTTGGGCGGATTTATTCCGGGTCAATTTTTGGCAGATTCCAAAGGGGTACCATCACAGATTTCGGGCAATTTATCCCAAAAGCCATTTTCTTTCGATTCTGGTGGCTACAGATCACGGAATCGGGCCGAGGCTATTCTCCACTGATAATGAAGTCTATTGATCCTATTCTCCACGGATGATAAGTCCGTTAATCATTGATTTGGGCCAATTTATTTTCGGATGACAATTTTGTAATTTTTTGGGCGACGAAAGGCCATTTTCTTTGGATATTGAAGGCTACAGATCACGGATTCAGACTGAGGCTATTCTCCGACGATAATTAAGTCCATTAAGCACGGATTTGGAAGGATTTATTCAGGGTCAATTTTTGACAGATTCCAAAGAGGTAACATCACAGATTTTCGGGCGATTTATCCGATATGCCATTTTCTTTCAATTCTGGAGCCAACAGATCACGGAATCAGACCGTGGCTATTCTCCACCGATAATGAAGTCTATTGATCTTATTCTCCACGGATGATAAGTCCGTTAAGCATCGATTTGGGCCAATTTATTGTCGGATGGCATTTTCGTAATTTCTTGGGCGTAAAGACCATTTTCTTTGGATATTGAAAGCTACAGATCACGGGTTCGGCCTAAGGCTATTCTCCAACGATGATTGAGTCCATTAAGCAACGATTTGGGCGGATTTATTCCGGGTCATTTTTTGGCAGATTCCAAAGGGGTACCATCACAGATTTTGGGCGATTTATCCGAAATGACATTTCCTTTCGATTCTGGAGCCTACAGATCACGGAATCAGGCCGAGGCAATTCTCCACCGATAATGAAGTCTATTGATCCTATTCTCCACGGATGATAAGTCCGTTAAGCATCGATTTTGGCCAATTTATTTTAGGATGTCATTTTCATAATTTCTGGGGCGACAAAAGGTCATTTTCTTTGGATATTGAAGGCTACAGATCACGAATTCGGCCTGAGGCTATTCTCCAACGATGACTGAGTCCATTAAGCAGCGATTTGGGCGGATTTATTCCTGGTCAATTTTTGGCATTTTCCAAAGGGGTACCATCACAGATTTCAGACGATTTATCCGAAATGCCATTTTCTTTCGATTCTGGAGGCTACAAATCATGGAATCAGGCTGAGACTATTCTCCACCGATAATGAAGTCTATTGATCCTATTTTCCACGGATGATAAGTCCTTCAAGCATCAATTTGGGCCAATTTATTTTCGGATGACATTTTCGTAATTTCTTGGGCGACGAATGGCCATTTTCTTGGATATTGAAGGCTACCGATCACGGATTCAGCCTGAGGCTATTCTCCAACGATGATTGAGTCCATTAAGTAACGATTTGGGTGGTTTTATCTGGGTCAATTTTTGGCAGATTCAAAAGGGGTACCATCACATATTTCGTGCGATTTATCCGAAATGCCATTTTCTTTCGATTCTGGAGGCTACAGATCACGGAATCAGGCCAAGGCTATTCTCCACCAATAAAGAAGTCTATTGATTCTATTCTCCACGGATGATAAGTTCGTTTAAGCATCGATTTGGCCCAATTTATTTTCGAATGGCATTTTCGTAATTTCTTGGGCGACGAAAGGCCATTTTCTTTGGATATTGAAGGCTACAGATCACGGATTCGGTCTGAGGCTATTCTCCAACGATGATTCAGTCAATTAAATACCGATTTGGGCGGATTTATTCCGGGTCAATTTTTATCAGAGTCCAAAGGGGTACCATCACAGATTTCAGGTGATTTATCCGAAATGCAATTTTCTTTCGATTCTGGAGGCTACAGATCACGGAATCAGGCCGAGGTTATTCTCCACAGATAATGAAGTCTATTTATCCTATTCTCCATGGATGATAAGTCCGTTAAGCATCGATTTTGCCAATTTATTTTCGGATGGCATTTTCGTAATTTTTTGGGTGACGAAAGGACATTTTCTTTGGATATGGAAGGCTACAGATCACAGATTCGGCATGAGGTTATTCCCCAACGATGATTGAGTCCATTAAGCATCGATTTGGGCGGATTTTTTCTGGGTCAATTTTTGGCAGATTCCAAAGGGGTATTATCACAGATTTCGAGCGATTTATCCGAAATGCCATTTTCTTTCGATTCTGGAGGCTACAAATCATGGAATCAGGCCGAGGCTATTCTCCACCGATAATGAAGTCTATTGATCCTATTTTCCCTAGATGATAAGTCCGTCAAGCATCAATTTGGGCCAAATTTTTTTCGGATGGCATTTTCGTAATTTCTTTGGCAACGAATGGCCATTTTCTTTGGATATTGAAGACTACAGATCACGGATTCGGCCTGAGGCTATTCTCCAATGATGATTGAGTCCATTAAGCACCGATTTGGGCGGATTTATTCCGGGTCAATTTTGTGCATATTCCAAAGGGGTACTATCACAGATTTCGGGCGGTGAATCTGAAATGCCATTTTCTTTCTATTCCGTTAAGCATCGATTTGGGCCTATTTATTTTCGGATGGCATTTTTCGTAATTTCTTGGGCGACGAAAGGCCATTTTCTTTGGATATTGAAGGCTACCGATCACACATTCGGCCTGAGGCTATTCTCCAACGATGATTGAGTCCATTAAGCACCGATTTGGGCGAATTTATTCGGGTCTATTTTTATCAGAGTCCAAAGGGGTACCAACACAGATTTCAGGTGATTTATCCGAAATGCAATTTTCTTTCGATTCTGGAGGCTACAGATCACGGAATCAGGCCGAGGTTATTCTCCACAGATAATGAAGTCTATTTATCCTATTCTCAATGGATGATAAGTCCGTTAAGCATCGATTTTGCCAATTTATTTTCGGATGGCATTTTCGTAATTTCTTGGGTGACGAAAGGACATTTTCTTTGGATATGGAAGGCTACAGATCACAGATTCGGCATGAGGTTATTCCCCAACGATGATTGAGTCCATTAAGCATCGATTTGGGCGGATTTTTTCTGGGTCAATTTTTGGCAGATTCCAAAGGGGTATTATCACAGATTTCGAGCGATTTATCCGAAATGCCATTTTCTTTCGATTCTGGAGGCTACAAATCATGGAATCAGGCCGAGGCTATTCTCCACCAATAATGAAGTCTATTGATCCTATTTTCCCTGGATGATAAGTCCGTCAAGCATCAGTTTGGGCCAAATTTTTTTCGGATGGCATTTTCGTAATTTCTTGGGCAACGAATGGCCATTTTCTTTGGATATTGAAGACTACAGATCACGGATTCGGCCTGAGACTATTCTCCAATGATGATTGAGTCCATTAAGCACCGATTTGGGCGGATTTATTCCAGGTCAATTTTGTGCAGATTCCAAAGGGGTACTATCACAGATTTCGGGCGGTGAATCTGAAATGCCATTTTCTTTCTATTCTGGAGGCTACAGATCACGGAATCAGGCCGAGCCTATTCTCGACCAATAAAGAAGTCTATTTATCCTATTCTCCACGGATAAAAAGTTTGTGCATCGTTTTGGGCAAATTTACTTTCGGATGGAATTTTCGTAATTTCTTGGACGACGAAAAACCATTTTCTTTGGATATTGAAGGCTACAGATCACGGATTCGGCCTGAGGCTATTCTCCAACGATGATTGAGTCCATTAAGCACCGATTTGGGCGGATTTATTCCGGGTCAATTTTGGGCTGATTCCAAAGGGGTACCATCACAGATTTCGGGCGATGTATCTGAAATGCCATTTTGTTTCTATTCTGGAGGCTACAGATCACGGAATCAGGCCGAGGCTATTCTCCAATGATGATTGAGTCCATTAAGCACCGATTTGGGCGGATTTATTCCGGGTCAATTTTGTGCAGATTCCAAAGGGGTACTATCACAGATTTCGGGCGGTGAATCTGAAATGCCATTTTCTTTCTATTCTGGAGGCTACAGATCACGGAATCAGGCCGAGCCTATTCTCGACCAATAAAGAAGTCTATTTATCCTATTCTCCACGGATAAAAAGTTTGTTAAGCATCGTTTTGGGCCAATTTACTTTCGGATGGAATTTTCGTAATTTCTTGGACGACGAAAAACCATTTTCTTTGGATATTGAAGGCTACAGATCACGGATTCGGCTTGAGGCTATTCTCCAACCATGATTTAGTCCATTAAGCACCGATTTGGGCGGATTTATTCCTGGTCAATTTTTTGCAGATTCCAAAGGGGTACCATCACAGATTTCGGGTGATTTATCCGAAATGTCATTTTCTTTCGATTCTGGAGGCTACAGATCACGGAATCAGGCCGAGGTTATTCTCCACTGATAATGAAGTCTATTGATCCTATTCTCCACGGATGATAAGTCCGTTAAGCATCGATTTGGGCCAATTTATTTTCGGATGGCATTTTCGTAATTTATTGGGCGACGAAAGGCCATTTTCTTAGGATATTGAAGGCTACAGATCACGGATTCGGCCTGAGGCTATTCTCCAGCAATGATTGAGTCCATTAAGCCCCGATTTGGGCGGATTTTTTGCGTATCAATTTTTGGCAAATTCCAAGGAGGTACCATCACAGATTTCAGGCGATTTATCCGAAATTCCATTTTCTTTCGATTCTGGAAGCTACAGATCACGGAATCAGGCCGAGGCTATTCTCCACCGATAATGAAGTCTATTGATCCTATTCTCCACGGATGATAAGTCCGTTAAGCATCGATTTGGGCCAATTTATTTTCGAATGGCATTTTCCTAATTTCTTGGGCGACGAAAGGCCATTTTCTTTGGATATTGAAGGCTACAGATCACGGATTTGGCTTGAGGTTATTCTCCAACGATAATTCAGTCCATTAAGTACCGATTTTGGGAGGATTTATTCCGGGTCAATTTTGGGCAGATTCCAAAGTGGTACATCACAGATTTGGGCTGTCACTCGGTCGGTTTCGGTTTAACCAAAAACCGAATTGTCTGTTATCGGTCAAATCGAGACCTCGACCAGAGCTACCGCCAACCGACCGTGAGCCTCGGCTAGCCGCAAACCGACCGACCGGTTTTGACTCGGTTTGCCGGCCAACCGGAAACTACCTTTAAAAAAAAAATTTAAAAGCAACAAAAAATCTGCACCACACACTCCTAACCTAACCCCTCCGTTTCTCGATTCTTCTTCCCCTCAGTTTTCTCGATTCTTCTTCCCCTCCGTTTTCTCGATTCTTCTTCCCCTCCGTTTTCTCCCTACTCTCTCTCTCGATTCTCTTCTTCCTCTGGAAGGAAAATCGAACAACCAACTCCCTCGATTCTTCTACCCAGACTATCTCTCTCCCTATTCTCGCCTCCTCCCTCGATTCTCTCTCTCGATTCTGCTGGTGTTGGCGGCGGGGCGACGGGGCTGAGGACCGGGGTGGAGTGACACGAAGTCGTGGTCTTCTCGCCGTCGTGGGAGTCGCGGGAGGGACTCTGGACAAAGTAGGCCGGGCGGCGGGGAGATCTGGTCGGCGACGACGGCGCAAGGCTGGTAACCTCGTAGTCGGTTTTGGCATGCATTTTTTTGGGTTTTATTTGGGGTAATGGGAATGAATGGGAAAGCTGGTTGAAGCAGAGAGAAGCTTGTTCAGGCGGAGGAGGGAGCAAAATGGGTTTTATGGGAATAGGGGCGGTGAAGGGGAAGGCGGAAAATGGTGAGGGAGCTTCTTGTTCGGGTCTGTTGGAAGAGAAGAGGGTCGGGTCCTGCCGTCGGGGTTGTCGGAAGAGAAGAGGGTCTCTAGGGGAAGGGGAAATGGGGAATGGATTTGGGATAGGGTTTGGTTGATTTGGGATTTGGGATTTGTTGGAAGAGAAGAGGGTCAGGTCTCTGGGGGGGGGGGGGGGGGGGGGAAGATGGCTTTGGATGCGGCGTCGTTTAAGGAAAGGGCAGGGGGTCGGTTAGCCGGTTAACCGCCGGTTTCCAACCCCGGTTAGTCGGCTAACCGGCCCCCTGATTTGCTCTACCGTCAACCGACCGTGCTCTGCAGGTTCGGTTTTTCGGTTCGCCGAAAACCGGTCGGTTCGGTTGAAACCGTCCGGTTAACTGCTAACCGGAAAACCGTCTGCCAGCCCTATCACAGATTTCGGGCGATTTATCCGAAATGCCATTTTCTTTCGATTCGGGAGGCTACATATCACGAAATCAGGCAAAGCCTATTCTCCATCGATAATGAAGTCTATTCATCCTATTCTCCACGGATGATAAGTCCTTTAAGCATCGATTTGGGCCAATTTATTTTCGGATGACATTTTCTTAATTTCTTGGGCGACGAAAGGCCATTTTTTGGGATATTGAAGGCTACAGATCACGGATTCGGCCTGAGGTTATTCTCCAACGATGATTGAGTCCATTAAGCACCGATTTGGGCGGATTTATTCCGGGTCAATTTTTGGCAGATTCCAAAGGGGTACCATCACAGATTTTGGGCAATTTATCTGAAATGCCATTCCCTTTCGATTCTGGAGGCTACAGATCACGGAATCAGGCCGAGGCTATTCTCCACCGATAATGAAGTCTATTGATCTTATTCTCCACGGATGATAAGTCCATTAAGCATCGATTTGGCCCAATTTATTTTCGAATGGCATTTTCATAATTTCTTGGGCGACGAAAGGCCATTTTCTTTGGATATTGAAGGCTACAGATCACGGATTCGGTCTGAGGCTATTCTCCAACGATGATTCAGTCCATTAAATACCGATTTGGGCGGATTTAATCGGGGTCAATTTTTGGCAGATTCCAAAGTGGTACCACTACAGATTTCGGGCGATTTATCCGAAATGCCATTTTCTTTCGATTCTGTAGGCTACAGATCACGGAATCAAGCAGAGGCTATTCTCCACCGATAATGAAGTCTACTGATCCTATTCTCCACGGATGATAAGTCCGTTTAAGCATCGATTTGGGCCAATTTATTTTCAGATGGCATTTTTGTAATTTCTTGGGCGAAGAAAGGCCATTTTCTTTGGATATTGAAGGCTACATATGACGGATTCGGCTTGAGGCTATTCTTCAACGATGATTGAGTCCATTAACCACCGATTTGGCCGGATTTATTTCGGGTCAATTTTTGGCAGATTCCAAAGGGGTACCATCACAGATTTCGGGCGAGTTATCCGAAATGCCATTTCTTTCGATTCTGGAGGCCACAGATCACGGAATCAGGCCGAGGTTATTCTCTACCAATAAATAAGTCTATTGATCCTATTCTCCACGGATGATAAGTATGTTAAGCATCGATTTGGGCCAATTTACTTTCGGATGGAATTTTCGTAATTTCTTGGGCGACGGAAGGTCATTTTCTTTGGATATTGAAGGCTACAGATCACGAGTTCGGCCTGAGGCTATTCTCCGACCAAGATTTAGTCCATTAAGCACCGATTTGGGCGGATTTATTCCTGGTCAATTTTTTGCAGATTCCAAAGGGGTACCATCACAGATTTTGGGCGATTTATGCGAAATGTCATTTTCTTTCGATTCTGGAGGCTACAGATCACGGAATCAGGCCGAGGTTATTCTCCACCGATAATGAAGTCTATTAATCCTATTCTCCACGGATGATAAGTCTGTTAAGCATCGATTTGGGCCAATTTATTTTCAGATGGCATTTTCAAATTTTCTTGGGCGATGAAAGGCCATTTTCTTTTGATATTGAAGGCTACAGATCACGGATTCGGCCTGAGGCTATTCCCCAACGATAATTGAGTCCATTAAGCACCAATTTTGGCGGATTTATTCCTGGTCAATTTTTGGCATTTTCAAAGGGGTACCATCACAGATTTCGGGCGATTTATCTGAAATGCCATTTTCTTTCGATTCTGGAGGTTACAGATCACGGAATCAGACCAAGGCTATTCTCCACCGATAATGAAGTCTATTGATCCTATTCTCCACGGGTGATAAGTCCGTTAAGCATCGATTTGGGCCTATTTATTTTTGGATCGCATTTTTCGTAATTTCTTGGGCGACGAAAGGCCATTTTCTTTGGATATTGATGGCTACAGATCACGGATTCGGCCTGAGTCTATTCTCCAACGATGATTGATTTCATTAAGCACTGATTTGGGCGGATTTATTCCTAGTTTATTTTTGGCAGATTCCAAAGGGGTACCATCACAGATTTCGGGCGATTTATCCGAAATGCAATTTTCTTTCGATTCTGGCGGCTACAGATCACGGAATCAGGCCGAGTCTGTTCTCCACCGATAATGAAGTCTATTGATCCTATTCTCCACGGATGATAAGTCCATCAAGCATCAATTTGGGCCAAAAAAAATTTCGGATGACATTTTCGTAATTTCCTGGGTGACGAATGACCATTTTTTTTGGATATTGAAGGCTACAGATCACGGATTCGGCCTGAGGCTATTCTCCAACGATGATTGAGTCCATTAAGCACCGATTTGGGCGGATTTATTCCGGGTAAATTTTGGACAGATTCCAAAGGGGTACCATCACAGATTTCGGGCGATGTATCTGAAATGCCATATTCTTTCTATTCTGGAGGCTACAGATCACGGAATCAGGCCGAGGCTATTCTCCACCAATAAAGAAGTCTATTGATCCTATTCTCCACGGATGAAAAGTCTTCTAAGCATCGATTTGGGCCAATTTACTTTCGGATGGAATTTTCGTTATTTCTTGGGCGACAAAAGGTCATTTTCTGTGGATATTGAAGGCTACAGATCACGAATTCGACCTGAGTCTATTCTCCAACGATAATTGAGTCCATTAAGCACCGATTTGGGCGGATTTATTCCGGGTCAATTTTGGGCAGATTCCAAAGGGTTACCATCACAGATTTCAGGCGATGTATCTGAAATGCCATTTTCTTTCTAATCTGGAGGCTACAGATCACGGAATCAGGCCGAGGCTATTCTCCACCAATAAAGAAGTCTATTGATCCTATTCTCCACGAATGATAAGTCCGTTAAGCATCGATTTGGGCCAATTTATTTTCGGATGGCATTTTCGTAATTCCTTGGGCGACGAAAGGCCATTTTCTATGGATATTGAAGGCTACCGATCACAGATTCGGCCTGAGGCTATTCTCCAACGATGATTGATTTCATTAAGCACCAATTGGGCGAATTTATTCGTGTCTTTTTTTCGCAGATTCCAAAGTGGTACCATCACATATTTCAGGCGATTTATCCGAAATGCAATTTTCTTTCGATTCTGGAGGCTACAGATCACAGAATCTGGCCGAGGTTATTCTCCACCGATAATGAAGTCTGTTTATCCTATTCTCCACGGATGATAAGTCTGTTAAGCATCAATTTGGGCCAATTTACTTTCGGATGGAATTTTCGTAATTTCTTGGGCGACGAAAGGTCATTTTCTTTGGATATTGAAGGCTATAGATCACTAATTCGGCCTGAGGCTATTCTCCGACCAAGATTTAGTCCATTAAGCACCGATTTGGGCGGATTTATTCCTGGTCAATTTTTTGCAGATTCCAAAGGGGTACCATCACAGATTTCGGGCGATTTATCCGAAATGTCATTTTCTTTTGATTCTGGAGGCTACAGATCACGGAATCAGGCCGAGGTTATTCTCCACCGATAATGAAGTCTATTGATCCTATTCTCCACGGATGATAAGTCTGTTAAGCATCGATTTGGGCCAATTTATTTTCAGATGGCATTTTCAAAATTTCTTGGGCGATGAAAGGCCATTTTCTTTTGATATTGAAGGCTACAGATCACGGATTCGGCCTGAGGCTATTCTCCAACGATGATTGAGTCCATTAAGCACCAATTTTGGCGGATTTATTCTTGGTCAATTTTTGGCAGATTCCAAAGGGGTACCATCAAATATTTCAGGCGATTTATCCGAAATGCCATTTTCTTTTGATTCTGGAGGCTACAGATCATGGAATCAGGCCGAGACTATTCTCCACCGACAATGAAGTCTATCGATCCTATTCTCCACGGATCATATGTCCGTTAAGCATCGGTTTGGGCCAATTTATTTTTGGATGGCATTTTCGTAATTTCTTGGGCAACGAAAGGCCATTTTCTTTGGATATGGAAGGCTACAGATCACGGATTCGGCCTGAGGCTATTCCCCAACGATGATTGAGTCCATTAAGCATCGATTTGGGCGGATTAATTCAGGGTCAATTTTTGGCAGATTCCAAAGGGGTGCCATCACAGATTTTGAGCGATTTATCCGAAATGGCATTTTTCTTTCGATTCTGGAGGCTACAGATCACGGAATCAGGCCGAGGCTATTCTCCACCGATAATGAAGTCTATTGATCCTATTCTCCACGGATGATAAGTCCATCAAGCATCGATTTAGGCCAATTTTTTTTTGGATGACATTTTCGTAATTTCCTGGGCGACGAATGGCCATTTTCTTTGGATATTGAAGGCTACAGATCACGGATTCGGCCTGAGGCTATTCACCAACGATGATTGAGTCCATTAAGCACCGATTTGGGCGGATTTATTCCGGGTAAATTTTGGACAGATTCCAAAGGGGTACCATCACAGATTTCGGGCGATGTATCTGAAATGCCATTTTCTTTCTCTTCTGGAGGCTACAGATCACGGAATCAGGCCGAGGCTATTCTCCACCAATAAAGAAGTCTATTGATCCTATTCTCCACGGATGAAAAGTCTTCTAAGCATCGATTTAGGCCAATTTACTTTCGGATGGAATTTTCGTAATTTCTTGGGCGACGAAAGGTCATTTTCTTTGGATATTGAAGGCTACAGATCACGAATTCGGCCTGAGGCTATTCTCCAACGATGATTGAGTCCATTAAGCACCGATTTGGGCGGATTTATTCCGGGTCAATTTTGGGCAGATTCCAAAGGGGTACCATCACAGATTTCAGGCGATGTATTTGAAATGCTATTTTCTTTCTATTCTGGAGGCTACAGATCACGGAATCAGGCCGAGGCTATTCTCCACCAATAAAGAAGTCTATTGATCCTATTCTCCACGAATGATAAGTCCGTTAAGCATCGATTTGGGCCAATTTATTTTCGGATGGCATTTTCGTAATTTCTTGGTCGACGAAAGGCCATTTTCTATGGATATTGAAAGCTACTGATCACATATTCGGCCTGAGGCTATTCTCCAACGATGATTGATTTCATTAAGCACCAATTTGGTCGAATTTATTCGTGTCTTTTTTTGGCATATTCCAAAGGGGTACCATCAGATTTCCGGCGATTTATCCGAAATGCAATTTTCTTTCGATTCTGGAGGCAACAGATCACGGAATCTGGCCGAGGTTATTCTCCACCGATAATGAAGTCTGTTTATCCTATTCTCCACGGATGATAAGTCCGGTAAGCATCGAATTGGGCCAATTTATTTTCAGATGGCATTTTCGTAATTTCTTGTGCGACGAAAGGCCATTTTCTTTGGATATGGAAGGCTACAGATCACATATTCGGCCTGAGGTTATTCCCCAACGATGATTGAGTCCATTAAGCATCGATTTGGGCGGATTTTTTCTGGGTTAATTTTTGGCAGATTCCAAAGGGGTACCATCACAGATTTCGAGCGATTTATCCGAAATGCCATTTTCTTTCGATTCTGGAGGCTACATATCACGGAATCAGGCCGAGGCTATTCTCCACCGATAATGAAATCTATTGATCCTATTATCCCCGGATGATAAGTCCGTCAAGCATCGATTTGGGCCAAATTTTTTTCGGATGGCATTTTCGTAATTTCTTGGGTGACGAAAGGCCATTTTCTTTGGATATTGAAGGCTACAGATCACGGATTCGGCATAAGGCTATTCTCCAACGATGATTGAGTCCATTAAGCATCGATTTGGGAGGATTTATTCCGGGTCAATTTTTGGCAGATTCCAAAGTGGTACCATCACAGATTTCGGGCGATTTTTCCGAAATGCCATTTCTTTCGATTCTGGAGGCCACAGATCACGGAATCAGGCCGAGGCTATTCTCTACCGATAATGAAGTCTATTGATCCTATTATCCCCGGATGATAAGTCCGTCAAGCATCGATTTGGGCCAATAAATTTTCGGATGGCATTTACGTAATTTCTTGTGCGACGAATGGCCATTTTCTTTGGATATTGAAGGCTACATATCACGGATTCGGCCTGAGGCTATTCTCCAACGATGATTGAGTCCATTAAGCACCGATTTGGGCGGATTTATTCCGGGTCATTTTTTGGCAGATTCCAAAGGGGTACCATCACAGATTTCGGGCGATTTATCCGAAATGCCATTTCTTTCGATT